CTTACATATTGCACCTTTAATGTTTATTACATTATTTTAGTGTCATGTGCGTTACCATGATTATGTTTTGACAATGAGACAATGCAGCTTTTATATAGTAGTATTTGCCACAATTTCTGAAACATCTACTTGTGATAAACTGATTTTAGTAATGTGGTATATTAACATTATTTCAGTTAATGAAATATGTTTTCTAATTTGAGTTCAGTCTGTAAAACTTAAAATGTTGCTACCATACAGCTGCCAGCTTTTTACTGTAAATTTCACAGATTTTTTTGATTTTCCCTTTTTCTTTTTCTTAGAGTGCAAACTTGCATATTGTGGAGATGGATATCGCTATGAAGAGGCAGAGGAGTGTGACAGAAAGGATTTTGGATTTCACACATGCAGATCTTTTTTGCCTGGGTAAGACTGTTCAAGCCTATTTAAAAAGGATAGGGCAAAGCTAAAATCCCCCTTAAAGGGGTCATATGATGCTATTTTAAAGATCATTATTTTGTGTATTTGGTGTAACAGAATATGTTGACATGCTTTAATGTTCAAAAAACACATTATTTTTCAAATACTGTACATTATTGTAGGTCCTCTATGCCCCGCCTCTCTCAAACGCGTCGTTTACATGTCATAGCAAAGTCCGAATTGACACTTTTTTTAATTTTTTTTAGAAATAGCCTTTGTGCACAGCCAGCTTTGTACTCTTCTAGGTTAAAAAAAACTGTCGTCCATAAAATGCGTTGCACAAATTCAAACATCTGGGTTGTGCTGTTCTGTTGTAAATAAATCTTAACCAATGATTCCTAATTGCATCTACTTCCGGAAGGCCAAATAAAGTGCTTTTGCTTTCGCACTGAAACACTGCGTCTCCCTGACATGGCTGCATCAACACGACTGCTGTTCCTGAAACCACGCCTTCTTTCTTTGCGTGCACATTTGGGCGGCATTATGCTAATATTTCCACATAGTGACGTAGATATGCGGGGGCGTGTTAGAACGAGCCGTTTTAGGTAGGCGTGGTTGACTCTTAACTTTTATAAAGAATATCTCTTTGGATTTGAGACTTTAGTCTTTGCAACTTTACAGATCTTCTTTATGCACCAAGAGCTTGTAACACTCCAAAGAGAAACGAAAACTTGAAATCGCATCATATGACCCCTTTAAGGAAAATGAGCCGTTTTCTTGTCCCAAAGACTTTGACAGACAAAAAAGGGGAAAAAATGTATTATTATTTATTATTTATTGACTATTATACTCTAGCCAGCACAATGTTATATTAAAATAATATTGTAAAAGAGTTTTGATTTGATTAAAAAAATAAAAAATATATAAAGTACCACCCCTTGATCCTTAACTAAATTTGGTTAAATTTGTCCAAATAACATGCATGTCTTTCTGTCCACAGATCTTATGGACATCTCAAGTGCACAGCTAACTGTTTCATTGACTCAACAAACTGCAAGTTTTTCACATGAGGACACAAGAAAGCAGTGTCTCATTTCAGCTGGCGAGATCCATATAAACAACGACACTGAAAACCGTAGATTCAGCAGATAAACCGAGGTAGAAATCATTGAGGAAATTATCACAAACACATTAGCTGAACTCCTCTGTTGACATGATGCTGAGAGGCCATGTAGATCACACGGGAAAATAATGTTCGGCAAAGCCAAGTTGTGCTTGTGCACTTAAGAACTCTAACAGGACTTCAGACACCATTCTCCGTTCATTCAGCCTCTGCTGCCTGCCGCTCAGCCTTGGCTCGACATTTGGCCAGCGTGGTTGGCTGCACTAAGAGGAAACAGGTAAGTTGGGTGCCTCTTGGAGATGGGTAAAGGACTCCTCAATACCTCAAAGTACTGTAGTACTGTTTCAGAGGAAAGCCATTTTCTCCTGGTCAACCCCACCTTCCCTCACACAGGGTGCTCTGTATGTGGAATGCAATGAGACTTTGTTACTATAGTATTTTGCATGAGGCTGAGATTGCTGTAGACATGTCAGCAGAGATCATTACCAAGGCATGTAACTGAACAAAACAAAAGTGGCTCATATCTTTAAATGTAATATTATGTAGGCTTAGACCAAACTGGTGCTTGGCCCTGGATGAAACCTAATAATTTCATTTTCTTAAACGACACTGATGTACATTAGGGTTAGTACAGTTTTGCATACTAGGTCCAAAATTAGCTTGTTGCCATACAGCCCAATAGTGGGTAAATTGAAGACAAAATGGAATTTAACAGCTCATAAAATGGCACAATTATAAGCCAAATTAATTGATAAACATATCAAGTCGCTCGATAAAGATGCTTGTTAAGTACTTTTCAATATTTTTTGATACTAATCAAACATTACCAAAAATGATTCATGATGCAGTGAGGGAGTCAAACTCGGTAACATCGCTGAAAGATTAACTGACTGAGTCTGATTCAAACACCTTACTCAAAAGCAAATTCAAGGCTGTGTCGTAAAGAAATGTTAGAAATGTGTTTACCAATACATATGTTAGGTAAATGTGACCCAAAGAAAAGATGGCAAAGTTGTGACCGGAAAGGGAACGTATATTCTGATTGTAATTTTTTTGTTCATTTCTTTGCAAATTGGAGGTCACGTTCAAGAAACACTAGCGTTGCCCTCTTACGAAATCAGAATGATGAAATCACATATAGAAAAAATGACTAGACATTGAATTTTTAGGTACCTTTTTGTGTCACATTTGCGTCCATATTTACTCACCCTTATGTGAAACGCTACCTCTCATAAACCATTTTTACACTCATTTTAGTGGTTTCTTGCCATTATGTTGCAGTGACCCAAATGGCCAGTAAATCCATTTACTTACTCACCAAATTCCCATTTTAATTCAGTTTGGCACATGGCAGGTGTTATTTTTGGACCCTGGGTATAAAACGTGTGTTTTCACAGACTATTTAATGTAAAAAAAGGCTGCATAAATGTACTTAACAGTAACCACAATAATACTACTGACTGACAATACTTTATTAAGGATGTTTAAGATTAGAAGACCCTGCTTTCCAGGCTCTCAGTATGTTTTTGGGGTCACACTTTAAGCACAAACCACTTAAAGATATCCATAACCCCTCCACCTCCATGTGTGGAGTAGGGTGCACATATTCCACAGTTTAGCTTAGTTCCACGTTGGTGTCTTGTGCTTCAAGATCTTGAAGTAAAGCAGACACTGCTTATTTATTTGGGGTATGGGTCTGAAGAGCTTAAAAAAGGGAGGAAAAACCCACCGATCTCATGAGGAAACTTAGCTATTTTACAAGTTGGCAATTTGTGCGAATTCGTACGATGTGATTTGTACAAAAACGTACGATTTTTAGAAAACAAAGTACGCATGAAGCTCTGTCCCCAAACCTAACCATCAGTGGGACGTAAACAGATTGTGTGAAAATATAGGAATGGGATTGTACGAATTCATTCAATATAGCCATCAATTCACCAAAATAGTTTGGAATTGCTGTGAGGTTGTGTTGGAAAAACCATACAGCATGTGAAGGCTCTAAAGCCGTTTTTGAACATTTTGTACTGTCTGCAATTGCAGGGGTAGCATTTTGCTGCTATTCAGGCTAAAGACTGTTGGATTAAGGCTGGACTGTTCATGTCGTCCCAAAGGCTTTAAACTGATTTATACCCTATGCCAAAGTCCAGTCTGAATATACCTCAGCATATATGGTGTGCTTTAGCCTTTGTGATTACAGGACCTGAGGTGGAGCATACAGCACTTACTTACTGTTAAATTCAGTGAAATCTTGCTTAAGTATCTTTTGAGTTACATTACTTTTTTTGATCAAGCCAGTTTTCCATAAGCTATATGATGCATTTGCTATAGAAACCTCTGTGCTTACATTTCTGGGGTGATATTCCTGACTTACCTGTAGATTTCATGTAAATGATGGATATATTATCGAAATAAGTGTCTTGAATTCATTATTCTGGTGAAACTGCATGTTTATATTGTATACTCTTGTTCAAAAGAGCAAAACTGCCACGTATATTGATGGCCTATAACAGGCAGGAGTTTTTGGAGTTAAAGTGCATTTAGCTTGTAACTGACTGTTATCCTCATATTTGTACAAATTGAGGAAAGGTGTTCAAATCAAATATTGCACAACAAACAAATACAAACGAGATTGAATGTTTTGTCCTAGTGTAATTTGAAAGCTGTTCTCAGTATTAAAACATGTTTGATACTGTCCTGTAATGATGTTAAAATAAAGCTTGAAAAGCTATCACTGATGTTTATATTGGACCCATTTATTTTCTTCTATGAATTTTGTGAGGATTTTGTCTTCATATTCTTTCATCAAAATGTTGTAATATATTACACAATATTGTCAATGCTAGTTGGCCAAAGTCAGAGCCAATCTGTGGATTTTGAGCAGTCAGAGGTGACAGATTTAGCATAAAATCGTTTATTGTATGATGGGCCCAAGTTATTCAAGTCGTTTTGAACACAACAAACTCATGCAGAAATATGCCCCTTGTTGCTATGAGATGCATGATAAATGAAAATGTGTTCTAAAATTGGCTGAAAATATTAAACATATTTGATATCCGACGACTGGATGGAATCATGGTATGAAAAGTTATGAAAGTCTGTCTGTATGTCTGTGTCTGAAGCTTTAAAAAAAAAAGTATTTGCCTATCACACACTGTGAAATCCGTTATATCCAAAAATGTTCAGTCGCTATCATCGACTTTTGTCCAAATTGCAAATTGGCAAAAGTTGTGAAATGTATTCCAGCCTTCAGTCGTTTAGTGTGTGATGTTACCATTTACAGAGAAAGTAACCATTAAGTCAGAGAGTGTATGATGCCTAGTGTTATAAAATCTGTTCAGATTTGAAAAGTTGTGTAGTGTATACCAGCTTTAAAGGCATTGTTTTAATATAATAGAACAATTGTGCTGAACACAGAACAAATGTGATTTTGTTTTTGTACAACAGCTCAATGAACCAGAAGTTAATGTTGAGTTAGTAGGTATAATTCATTTGTTGACTTTTTAAATGGTTACAGAGGAAAAACTGGCATCGCACTAAATGACTTAAGATCACACACTACCAGGCATTCCAAACACAACAAACCCACGCAGAAACATGCGCTTTGTTACTAGAAAACACTTGACAAATGAAAACAACACGTGTTGTAAAATTGGCTCAAACTATCAATATCCTCAGACTGAATGGAATCATAGTCTAAAGCTTAAAAAAGTCGGTGCCCAATGCCCATCATACACTACACTGCCGAAAAGCTGCAGATCGTCTCATTCAGACTCATTGCGTTGACTCATTCAGGGCAAACATCTGGGCAAAAGTTGTGTAGTGTATTCGATTCTTTACATCTTTGACAATTTCTGTCTAATTCTGCTCCACCAGAAAAATAGTTCCAAATGAAGGCAATTGACCCTTCGCAAAGACCTGCCCACCTTAGTTACTCTTGCTACGTTGGACAAGCCATGGCTCTCACAAGCACACCACACATGATGTTCTCACACAGTGAAAAATACATTGCGGAGCAAAGAGGACACTGACAACGTGCCGGCAGACAAGACAGAGCAGGTTACTTTTGGGATGAAACAAAGTCTCAGCTTTCAAATTTTGTCTTTTTTTTTTTTAAAGGGGTCATATGATGCTTTTTTAAAGATCA